GGCGGCGGCGGCGGCATGGGCAAGGGGGGCAACCAGGGCGAGGGCGCGGCGGAGCGCGAGGCGCCCATGCCCACCTTCCGCTGGGAGGAGATCCAGAGGCACAACCTGCGCACCGACAAGTGGCTGGTCGTGGACCGCAAGGTGTACAACGTCACCGCGTGGTCCAAGCGCCACCCTGGGGGCCACCGGGTCATCGCGCACTACGCGGGCGAGGATGCCACGGTAGGGGCGGGCCCGGCGGGTGGCTGGGGGAGGCGGAGGAGCGCGGGACCGCGGGCCACGGTAGCGAGCGGGGTGGCTCCGCGCAGCACGCGTGCCCTCGCCCACCCTGCGACCCAGGGGCGCGGGCGCAAAGGCTGCGCGCCCACCGTGTCCAGGGATCTGGGTATGGGGCCGCGCGCCCCTCGCTCTGTACCAGCCCCTCATCCAGAGGAGCGCGGGCCCGAAGGGCTCACTCCTTAGTGGACAGCATCCCGCGATGTCCAGAGGCCTGCCCCGAGACCTCTGGGCAGCTCGGGTTCTTAGATCCCAGGGACTTCCCGAAACGAACCCGGATCGGCCTCCTGCAGAGTCCAGGTCCAGAGGAGTCCGCGCCACAGAGTGGATTTGGCGGCGCCTGGCGCTGGGTGGCTTGGCCACAGGTCGTCCAATCCAGGGTTACTCTGGGACTGTCAGCTCAATGGTCCTCTGTTTGGTATTCTGTGCACACCCCTAGGTGGGTCTAGGGACACACTCCTGTTGCCCCTAGCAACTGCACAACACCCCCCTCCCCAGCCTGAAATTCCTCCTGGAAGGGGTGACTGGAGCCCCGGGGCTCAGATGATGCCAGGGCCAAGCAAGGGCCCATGTTTGGAGGGTGGTGCGTTGGAAGCCGACGGGTATCAGGCTAACAGAGAACTCCTGAAAGGGGCACAGCAGGCAGGCAGGTAGGAGGGGCAGACTGACCAGGTCCCCCCGGAGGCCTAGCCGCAGAGCTGGCCTGTCTGCAGATCGGCGTCCACACTGAACAGGTCCAGCTCTTGACCTCATCTCTTCATGGGGAAGGAGGCTGCTCAGGGGAAAGGTGGCAGTGGAGAACAGGTTCAGACCGGCCCTGATGGAGAGGCAGGCTAGCAGTGTCCATGTGGCCCAGCCAAGGGCAGGCGGTGTCCACATCGCCCAACTGCTTTCTGCCCATCCTACCTGCTTGGGTGCTGCCGAGCCAGCCTCGTGCTGCAGGTGGGGTTTCAGGCCGACCTCTGGGGCTAGGGGCTTTGCAGGAGATCAGACTTCTGCTGGCTGGGGCGTTGCCCTGTTGCAGGGTCCCAGGTCCAGCCATGTGCAGCTCTCACCAGCAAGCTCCTAGGCAAAGCCAGTATGGTGGGCTTGGCTGATGGCCCCATGTGCTCACAGAAGCATCTCCTCACCTGAATGCCCAGTCTGCCCACCTCCCTGGATGCCCAGGTGTACCCACTCCCTCCTGGCGCCCGAGACTCTCATGCCAGCCCCACCTTTGCATGACTGCCCCTGAAGCACTGAATGCTGAACATGACTTTTGCATACCTCCTCTCTGAATTGAGCTCAAAATGTTGAAATTATTTCTTATCGTGCCTGGTGCTGTCTGTGGCCATAACCCTGGTGCTTTGGAGTTGGTGGTCCTGGTGCAGGGAAGCTGGGGTGTTGGGGAGGTGCCGAGGGCAGCAGGAGGAGGCCGGGTCCCTGAGCGTGGGTGTGTGCTGCCAGGGTCTGAGCTCCCTCCTGCTGCATACCTGTGGCCCTGTCCACAGTCGTTGGTGACCCTGCAGGCCCCAAATCCAGGCACTAGGGAGTTGTTGTAAAGTGTTGTCAGATAGAGACTGGAGGTTAGGAACAAGTACACGGAAAGAAGTGTGGAAGAAAAACCAGCTCGTTGATGCAGCAACATGTAAAACCAGTCCTGCCTCCAAATTTCCAGCTTTGAGGTCAGGCCTGGGGCCCCCCACATCCTTGGTGGGAGCCAGGTTGGCCGTGACCTCAGCCTCGGGAACTGTGGCCTCTTTATTAAAACCTGTGGGAATTTTAATCTGATGTTACAACTTACTACATTTAAACAAATGTGACCCAAACACAGACCTTTCTTCAACTCCAGCTCTTTTGTCCAAGCCAACCCTCCAAGAAAGAGGAGGCAAAGCTCTGTTTTTGTTGCAGGATGGAAAATAGGATACTGGGTCTCCTGGCGGAGACTGCTCCACGGGTGCTTTAGTCTCAGGGCCAGCACCTGTGACTCTCCCCTGTATTAGGTGCAGTCTTTTATTTTCTGGGGCTGTGCTGTGCTCCTTCAGTGCACCCCAGCTCCTGCTGAGCCCCAAGCAAAAGAAGCTTTACTTTCTGCACCTGTCCCTAAGTCTTAGCCCACAGGTTAGACAAAAACAGACATGAGTGCTGCCACCTCTTGTTTTAGTGGTGTGGGGTGCATTTGGAAAAGGAATCGGGCACTGGGGAAAGCAGTGGAACCGAGACTCTGTGATCCGGGAGTTCCGAACGAAGGCTGTGGAGCAGATGGCTTCCACCCTGAAGGCAGAAACATCCCTAGGGCTGGGGACAGGGACAGGGCTGCTACCTCTGGAGGTGCGCCACCTTGTCTTCCTTGCGGCCTCATGTGAGGAAGCCATCTCCTGGGGATGCTCCAGTGTGTGGGGCCAGGTTATTCATGTCTTCTTTTTCCATCTTTTTGAGACAGGGTCTCACTATGCAGCTCAGACTGGCGTGGAACTCAGCGATCCTCCTGCCTCAACCTCCCAAGTGCTGGGATTACAGGTGTGCGCCACCACACCAGGCTGGGTTTTTTGTTTATAAGGAAGAGGAATTTCAACAGTGAGAATCACCTTGCCCCCCATTTTCTTTCATGCAGAAGTCAGAACTTGCTCTGGCTGTAATAATAAAAGTCATCCAGGGCCGGGAAGATGGCTCAGTGGAATAAGCGCTTCCCTAGCAGGTGCAAGGGTCTGAGTTCAATCCCCCGTTCTGCAAAAAAAAAAAAGTCACCCAGCTCACCCACGCCTGTAGTCTCAGTTCTGCGGGAAGCTGGGGCAGGAGAATTACTTGAGCCGGAGTTCAGGGCCCGCCTGAGTAAGCTAGCAAGGCTGGCAGCAAACAGTTACTATCTTATCTTGTAAAAAGCTACTTCGCTTTCGTGCTCCCACAGCTTGCTGTTACTTCATCTGACGTTGGGTATCTGTACTCGCTCAGGTTGACAGCCCTCCTCCCCGTCTGCCGCAGCCCTGGCCTATCTCCTCCACGCCACCCTTTCCCAGCAGCCCGGCCCAGTGTCTGACTCCTCATCCTCCCTGCAATTCATCAAATGTTCATGGGAGTCTCTCAGAGCTGAACAATTCATGGTGCCCTGGGTCCTCCGGGTTGCGTCTCTCCCTCTCTCCAGCTGCAGCTGGACCTGGGCCCCCTGCCTCTGGACGCTGTTGCCCCACCCCACTGGACTCGTTTCGGACTTCTCCCACCTGTCTGTCCTGCCAGACTCAGGGTTCAGCAAGGTGGAGGTGCATGGAATTGAGCTGGGCCTTTCTCCTTGCCGCCCGCCATTCAAGTCTTCCTGTGGACAGGGCTGCAGGGGATGGGAGATGGAGAAGCTGAGTGTGAGTGCCTGGCCTGGCATCCTGGCTGTCGCTGCGGGGGAGACAGCAGAGCGGGATCTGGTGTGGGTGATGACTGGACAGAGGCGCTGGGGTGGGGCTGTGCCCCCCCCCCCACCGCTGCCCCTGCAGGACCCGTCTCACCTGCTCACCACCTGTGGCTGCTCCATCCCTTCCTGGAAAGAGTTTGGCTGCTCTCCCTGCTGGGGAAGATGGAGCCCATTCCAGTGCTTGTTCCAAAATCAACGTTTGGCTTGGCCCTGCTCACCTTGATCTGGGCCTCCCGTGCAGCAGCCAGGCACCCAGGAACCCAGGGACCACAGAACTGTCAGGGCTGTGGCAGGTGTGCAGGGAACTGGGGGAGGGGAGCGGGGGTTTGCAAGAGCTCCCCTGGACAGGAAGCCTTGCTCTTGGCCTGTACAGGCCTGGGAACCCGGGTGAAGAGCGCAGGGGCCCTGCCGTGCACGTGAGCACAGTGTGGCTCCCCTCCTCGGGCCCTGGCCCTTCTCTGCCCACTTGGCACGATGGCCATCACGGCAGTCAGACGGACCCCAAGGCCAGGGCGCCGTGGACCGTGGAGAACTCCAGCTCCAGTGCGGGGTCTGGCTACACCACACCACAGCACGACTTTCTTCTGGGTAAAAGGCCCTTTGGGTTTCAGGGTCCTGTGGCCCAGCAGGCTTGTGAGCCCCGCAGTCGGTTCCCTGGCAGCCTGGGGACCTGTGTGCCCCTCCCTGTGGATGCACTGCACCCTGGGGCTGTGACAAGCAGCGTCCCTAAGGACTCCTGGTGGGGCTGGAGCAGGCAGGCAGGCAGGCGGGGCAGGCAACGCCTCCTGGCCAGTGAGGTCCCTGGGGAGTCAGCCAGGACATCAGTGCTAGCAAGGGTGCCTGGAGCAGCCAGGGCTGCCACGCTGAGGCCGGTGGGCCTGGGCCCCAGCCTGGCACCCAGGGTGAGATTGCTCCAAGTCCCTGGACATGGCTGGGGGTGGCACTCGGGCCATGCCTTGTCCAGCAGCTGCCTGCATGGGAGTGCAGCAGGGCCAGGGAGGCACCAGGGATGGAGCTGAGCTTCGGCTCCGGGCCAGCACTTCCTGTTCCTTCTTCAAGGTCTGCTGCAGGGGTGTGCAGGGTCGGGGTGGACCCCACCTGCCTGGGCCGCCTCCACAGAGACACCCCTGTCCTGGGTAGCACCCCCACCCCCCAAAATGCACACAGCCTACCTGCCCTGTACTACCTCTGCCAGCTTGGGTGACACGGAGACGTCTTCATGGATTTTCTCATGTAATTTGCTTTGACTGTTGGCATGTTTGTGATCCGGAATGGTCACACTCGCCATGGTGGTGGACACGTGGGCAGCACAGCTGTGTCGTTTCTTTTCGTCCCCTTCTCCCCACCCCCAATCCTTCTTCCCCTCCCATTTACCAAAGCTGTAGTTCGATTTTACTATCTTAAGATCCCCTCTCCCTCCCACTCGCCTTCCCTCACCCTCTCTCCCCCTTTGGAGACACTCCTACTTCCCAGGGTCTGCCCTCCCTTCTGCTTCAGAGCAGGGCTTTGAGGTGCTGTTTACCCAGGAATGTCTCAGCTTCCTTCTTTGTGGTGGAGTCGTATCTTCTTCCTCCATTTTTATTCTCCCTTCCTCCGTCGATGGCCCTTTTGGCTGTTCCCAAGACTTAGCTGTGACAGACCGCTTCTGTCAGCACGTGCACGCATATACTCTGTGACACGCTGCCTTCAGTTCTTTCTGGAGTAGCTGGGTCGAGTGGACCCTTCAGCCTTAGCTTTTTGAGGAATCTCCACGCAGACGTCCACAGTGGTTGCCCCAGCCTGGGCTCGCACCAGTGGTGGAGGAGACGTCCTCTTTCCCCGAAGCTCCGCCACCGTGTTATGGCTTCAGGGGGACACTGGGATGAGATGCAGTCTCAGCCTTGTTTCGTTCGCATTCCTGAGTGGCCAATGATGTCCAACAGTTTTTCGCGTGCGGACTGGCCGTTCGTGCTTCCTCATCTGAGATGTGTCTGTTCATTTCTGAGGCCCTTCTTGGACTGGGTCTTCGGATTTGGGGAGAGGTGTCTTTCAGACCCTGGGCCCAGTTTTCCCGCAGTAGTAGTGTTGCTAAGTGTGTTCTGGACACACACGGAAGGAGGCCAGGACGCAGGAGGCTGCCTGCGGGGGGAGGGGGAGGAGTGGAGTTTTATGAGTTGGCGGTCTCTTCCCCACCTTCTTGCTTTATTCTGGAATTTTCTGACCGTGCTGATGCGTTGGAGGACAGTCCTCGGCAGACTCGCCACTGTACTTGCGGCTGCGCGCGTCCCTGCATTCGGGCCGGCCCTTTGGTTTGCTTTTGGAATTAAGTCGCATCCCTGTGCATCGGCAACCCTGCATTCTTCAGCCCCATCCAAGAGCAGGGTGGGAGCTGTCGCAGTCACAAGGCCTCTGTCCCTTTCCAGAAGACTGCCCCTGCCTCGAGGGGAGTGGCGATCCCGCCCGCATCTCGGTGCTCTCCTGCTCAGAGGGGCTCAGGTGATGTCTACATTGCCCCCACGCGGCCTTTTCCAGCTCAGGCGCCCACGCCGGGGTGGCGAGTGTGTAATCAGGACCCGCACACTCGAGTCCTCTGAGCTTCCCTCAAGGCTTTTCTCCCTTTCCGAGGTGCAAGGTGACCAGTACTGTTGGGACATCTGCCGCCCACCCGGGCGCCCCGGGTCCACCTGTGAGGTCAGGGTGAGGGACACAGAAGGAAGTGAGCTGGTGCGGAGCCGAGCTGCCCGCTCCCTGGGGGGTATTTTCTTTCTTTACTCTCCTGTACATGTTTCAACTTGGCCAGAACCAAGAACATTTTTGCCTTATTACTAGTTTAGAAATGAAGTTAAAATGCCCAACCTGATAGCAGCATTAGAAAGGTTGGACAGTGATAGATAGAAAGCACAGCCAGCCTGCTACCTGCAGCCGGAGCTCAGATCCTCACGCCCCTTCCAGGTGCTTCCTTGTGGTCCGTGTCCACTGCATGCCTGCCCCAGGCTCCTGGGCATGTCACCACGCATGGTGGCCAGCATTCTTGCTCCTTCCTCCCACTGGGAATCCTGGGTTTGTGGGTGAGGGTCTTCAGGGTGCTGGTACTCAGCTCAGAGAGAGGCTGGGGCTGGCCTGACCCCAAGAGCTCTGCAGGCTCCGTGTGGGCACAGGCCAGGCAGTCCCTGCTGCCAGTGGATTGGTGCCAAGGGTGGTGGCGACCCTGCCTCACCATGTCCACTTCCCCCAGGATGCCTTCCGCGCCTTCCACCCAGACCTCGAGTTCGTACGCAAGTTCTTGAAGCCCCTGCTGATCGGCGAGCTGGCCCCGGAGGAGCCCAGCCTGGACCGCAAGAAGAGCGTGAGTGTGGCAGGGACCTGTGTGGGCATGGGATCCCCTCACCCCAGGACTGTTCTGGGATACTGCTGAGCCCTGGGGTCAGAAGGCCCTCAGAGTCCTCAGGGCCAGGGCTTGCCCATAGCTGGTATCGCCCCTTCTTTGGGTGCCACTTCCTTCTCCCGGAAAAGAGCTGGGCGCCCCCTGCATGCCGGCCTAGGGCTAAGCATGGAGGCATGGGAACCCTTCCCCACTGCTTAGCCAGCTGTGGGCCCCACACAGGGGGGCTGGGCTCCTGGGGCACGTGGGCAGCAGCCTGTGTCCTTGTCACTTCCTGGGTAGCTGTCCCATGTGGAAACAGTGTCTGCTCCAGAAGGGCTGGTGGCCAAGTCCCTGCTCTGACCTTGTGCAACAGTCTGAGATCACCAAGGACTTCCGGGCCCTGAAGAAGGTGGCGGAGGACATGAAACTGTTCCGGACCAACCACCTGTTCTTCCTGCTGCTGCTGGTGCACATCGTGGTCATGGAGAGCCTCGCGTGGTTCATCGTCTCCTACTTCGGCAATGGCTGGGTCCCCACACTCATCACAGCCTTTGTCCTCGCCACTTCCCAGGTGAGCCGGCCCGTCCCACCCACCCACTGCCCTGTGCTGGCCGCGCCCACGGCTGTCACTGACAGCTCCCGCCCCTCCCAGGCCCAGGCCGGGTGGCTGCAGCACGACTACGGACACCTGTCTGTGTACAAGAAGTCCAAGTGGAACCACCTTGTCCACAAGTTTGTCATCGGCCACTTAAAGGCAAGTGTCACTAGCCCCACACGTGCCGAGCGTTGGGCTTAGCACGATGTCACCCTGCTCGGGGCACAGGCGCATGCGGATCTGAGCTCGAGGCTCAGGGAGGGACGAGGGCTGTGCCAGACCCGCCCTGCCCTGGCTCTGGCTCCCGCGGCCTGATGCACACGCTGGCCGCAGCGCAGGAAAGGGTCCTCTGCTGGCCCACGCTGTGGGCATCCCGGGGCTCCTCCTGTGCCCGTGCCTGTCCCTGCGACAGAGCTGCGCCACCTTCCGTGGAGTGAGACGTGCAGACAGTGTCTGGAGGGGCATCACCCTTCACTTCTGTTTGAGCTTCTCGCTCTCGGCTTCCTTGGGGCGCGTTGTGCTGTTCTCTTCGCTTTCACCCACCTGTCCCGAGTCTTTCTCAGCCCGCCTCAGTGCTCCTTGGAAGTCCTGGGGTTGCAGAAGGTGGGTGCAGGCAGCCCTTGGCTTACAGTGTGATCACCACTGGGGAGAGCTGTTGTAAGTTCAAAACCCTAGTCTAAAAAGTTGGGCAACGCAGCAGCCCCACATGTCACACAGCTTAACCCGTGGAGCCTGGTTGGCCCCGGCTGCTCCTCCTGGAGGTGTCGCTAGCCCAGGAGAGACCAAAGTGCAAAATCCAGATTCCTGCTGTGTGGGCATTGCCTTCTTGGGCCTTGGAAGTCCCGGAATCCCTGGCGGCTGCTGGAGGTTGGGACTGGGCCAGAAGCTGTGAAAAGCGCAGCTCAGGTAGCCCTGCTTTGCCTGCATTCCAGCAGGTGGAGCTCAGAGAGGGGCTGTGCTCAGCAGATCCCTAGCAACGTGCCACTTGCCAGCCGCCTCAGGCCAGTTTGCCTGGGGTTAATCTCGCAGACTATGGACCTGAGGCCTGGCCAGCTCTCTCTGCAAACCTGACCCCAACAGTATCCAGCTGTTTCCTAAGAAAAGCTGAAGCTGGGCACGGTGGTGCACACCTGTCATCCTAGCACTCGGGAGGCTGAGGCAGGAGGGTCACTGTGAGTTTTAGGCTACATAGTGAGTTGAAGACCAGCCTGAACTACACAGTAAGACACTGTCTCATAAAGAACATCTGAGTCCAGAGATTCCCTACTTCCCCATCCTGGAGGGAGAAGAGCCCCCACGTCAGCTGTGACCCCGCACCGCTGGGCCCCAGCTGTGCAGGTGAGAGTGGACGGGTGTCACCACGTTGTCTGGCCACCCAGCCCCAGCACACAGCCTGTCCGACCTGGGTCAGCAGGGCCTGGGAACTGGGCTCTTTCCAGAGGCTGGGGTGGCCCTGAGGGTTCGCACAGTTGGGCTTTGTTTCCTCTGCGTCCTGTGGATAGAACCTCCTCAGCCCTGGAAAGTAGCATTTCCCTCCCGAGGGTGTTCCTGGCCCGCACAAAGACAGGCTGTGTCCCTGCCAGATGCAGGAGGGGCTGGCTGGGGGCTTTCCCCAGTGCGGCCCCGAGTCCTGGCCGGGCCGGAGTGGAGCTCTGGCGCCAACAGAGGCCCCGCTTCCCTGCCGATGTCTGCTATGACACGGGCACTCTGGTGACTAGGACGGGGCCCTTGGGCTGGAGACACTCTGCTAACCCATTCTGGCCATGTTCCTGGTCGCATGTCCCGGGCAGGGCTGAGGGCTCCCTCCAAGGAGCAGGTGCCCCTGAGGGTCCCAGGCCTTGCCAGGTGGTGTGTGGAATTGAGCTAGGTGGGCAGGGATAAGCTGTGTCACTGTCACCTGGAGCATAGGCTCCCTCTATGGGCAGCCCTCCTAAAGAGACCGAACTGCCCTCCAAGACATTGTGTTGGTTTTCTGCAGCGCAGGGGAATGAACCCAGGGCCCTCGTCCAGAGCTACGCCCCCAGCCGTTTGTAGCTTTTTTATTTTGTTGTTGTTGTTGTTGTTGTTGTTTTTAACTTTATTTTTTTAACATTTAGTGTGTGTGTGTGTGTGTGTGTGTGTGTGTGTGTGGCCAGCTCAGCCCACCAGGGGGCAGGGCTGGCTGGCATGTGGTGCTGGGGGATTGAACCGCGGTCCCTGTGCTTTGCCAAGCTTGTTCCAAGTAGGTGCTTTAGACCACTGAGCCATCTCTCCAGCCCCAGCTTTTTTATTTTGTGACAAAATCTCCCTCAGTTGCTAGACTGCCCAGGCTGAGTTTAATTCAGCAATCTTCTTGCCTCAGCCCCTAGATTTCAAGCAAAAATCAAGGCTGTGCCAAAACCCACGGAAACCGCGCATCCTGGCGATGAACGGTTGATTTCTCTTTCCCCTTGGACACTGAAGCTGGTGTAAAACGTTTGAAATTTGGAACTTTGGCGTATTAAAAAGTTTAAGATTATTATAGGTTTAAATGTCTTTATTATTTTCTATGTATTTGTTGCTATGCAGTGTAGCTGGCCTCAACGCCACGGCACGCCACGTGATTCTCCTGCTCCCCCAGGGTTGGCCTGACAGGCGTGGGCCACCACACCCAGCTTCTAAATGTCTTCTTTATCCCAAAACACAATTCTTTCTACTTTTACCTCACTGTGAAGTAATTAAAAACAAAACTTTTTTTTTTTTTTTTTTTTTTTTTTTGCGGAACCGGGGATTGAACTCAGGCCCTTGTGCTTGCCAGGAAAGTGCAAAAACTTCTTACTTGACTGGCAAAAATTGTGAAACTGGACTATTTCCTCCCCAGAGACAAGAGGCCTGGGCCACCTCTGGCCGCCCGTGCCCATGGCCGCCTCTTGGGTTTGCAGTCCCGAGCGCTGCCCTCTGACTCCCCAGCCCTCTGGTGTGGCCTACCGTGTCTACACCCTGCCAGCTCCCAGGACCAAGGGCTCTGTCCCTGGTTCACCCTGACCTCAGCCTGCACCAAGGACACGGGCAGGCCCCCAGGCTGGTCACTGTCCCTGGGAGGGGGACGCTGGAGGCCTGGATCCTGTCCAGGGACGAGCACTGGCCTCCTCCTGCTCTCACACCCACCTCTGTTCTTCCCTGGTTCGTAGGCAGATGTCTCCAGGCCACGTTCTGGTTTGGTTCTAGCCAGGCTGGGGTGGAGCCTGGGCCTTGGCCAAGCAGGCCGGCCACTTCCTAGGCTGGCAGCAAGATGCCCGGCTGTGCCGCTCAGCTCCTTACTCGAGGTCTCTGCCTCCCATTTGCCTTCTCCAGGAAGAACATTCCTTTTGTCTTTGGACAGGAATGTGTTGCTGATTCCAAATCTTGGGGTTCTCGCTGCCTGACATTTTGTTTTTGCTCTGCTGGTCTGAGCCCTGCGGGGCCTGAGGTCACCACAGAGGCCACAGCTGCCCAGTACGCCCCTACCCATGGCCGTGGGTGTCCAGGGGCCATGTGCCAGAAGCGCCTCCCAGAGGAAAAGTTTGTTTTTTGTAAAGAAACCTTTGTGTGTCTGGCCAGACCCAAGGCCAAGTATGGCCCAGCCCCCCGAGATGTGCCGCATACAGCCAGCCAGGGCACAGGCAGCAGCAGGCGGCGGCCGAATGAATGAGTCCTTCACAGCCCGCATCCAGGCGGCCTGGTCAGCACACTGCGGCCGCTCCTCCCACCCTAGGACCTCATTGCTACAGCACCGGTGCTGGGGCCCTGCGCCCACGTTTTCCCTCAGTGTAGTGTCCGTCAGAGCTGCTGGGCAGGTCTGTGGCCCTGTGCCTCTTGTGGCTTGGATGTCCTGTTGATCTTGTTCACTTTGCTGAGACGCACAACCAAAGGGCGGGTGCTCACCACTTGGGTGTGGGGAGCCTCTTCCACCACGGTCCAGGTCAGCTCAGTGCCTCCCATAAAGTGGCCAGCTCCCCGAAGCCTGCGGTGGAGCTCACGAAGCTGGGGTCACTACTGTCGTGGCGCTATGGCACGCCCTGATGGGCGTTGGGCTGCTTCGCTCTGGTATTTCCAAAAATGTGGCTTTAAGCCAGCAGGCACAGGGCTCCTGGGAGACGCGTGTTCATCGTCTGGGCCTGGGGGAGACCGCAGTGTCCCTGGCCATGGTGGGATGTGTGGTGCCGGGTGTGTGCACGGCTCTGCACCCCTGGACCTGCAGGGCTCACGCCGAGGGCTGACACCAGCCTTTCCTACGTGCTGCCACTATCCTAGGGTGGGGAAATTGAGGCCGGCTCTTGGGCAGGGCCGTGGGGCTCACCCCACGCCTCTCCCACAGGGCGCATCCGCCAACTGGTGGAACCACCGCCACTTCCAGCACCATGCCAAGCCCAACATCTTCCACAAGGACCCGGACATCAAGATGCTGCATGTGTTCGTCCTGGGCGAGTGGCAGCCACTCGAGGTATGGCTGAGGGGCCCATGGTGCCAGAGGGCAGGCCTCTCGCAATCCTGGGATGGGGTGATCGTGCAGCATGGCTCCCTGCGTCCACACATGGAGGGAAAGGGGTCCGGTCCAGTCAAGGAAGGGGCTCACACTCAGGGGACTTCATCGGGACAACTGCAGGGAGGGCAGACTGGTCCACGCAGCCCCCTGCAGGTGACAGATGAGGACCAAGGGTGGAAGGCCCGGGATGCACCCGTGACACTGCCAGCCACGGGCCATGCCACGTAGTGCTGCCGCAGCCCTGCTTTTGTACTTGTTTGGATTGTTGTCCAGTACAAGTGTGCACCTCAGAGCCATGTAGAAATGCACAAAATGTAGAGTCTCATGGAGAGTGAGGGTGCTGTGTGGACGCTGTCTCCCTCGGGCCTGGCTGCAGGGAGAGTCCCTTCATGGCCCTGTGGTGAGCCCCACGTCCTAGGAGGGCAGGGACTTCCTAGGAGGGGGGATGATGGGCAGATTGACCAGCCTCACATGCCCTGCATCTCTTGGCCACCTTCTGACCGAGAAACCTGGGCTGGGAAGATGAAATAACTGCAGAAAGAGGGCGTCCCATCCCCACCCCGCAGTCACCTGTGGAGTGTGCTTCATGCCACTGCAGCTTCTGACACATTTGTTGGCACGGGAAGCCCAGCTGAGCTGCACAGACAGCCCTGGCTCCCAGCCCCCAGGCGCTGGCTTGGGTGAGAAGGTGTGGTCAGCCTCACCTAGCCCTTGTTTTGCCCAGCTGCTGCCTGGGGGACAGGCATGGAGCCTTGCGTGGAGCCCAGGCCGCCTGCCATCGGAGATGGCACTCAGTGCGGTGCAGCCCCAGACCCACCCCAAGTCCCCTGCGCCCCTGGCCCGCAGCTCTGGGGCCCTGTCTCCCTCAGGGAAGCTCTGGGCCCTGCTATGTGGGGCTCAGGAGGCTGAGTGGCTGCATCGGGAGCAGAACCAACAGGTCCAGTGGCTGTCAGCCCAGGCTCTGCGGCACCCTGGGATGGACAGTCCCTGGGCCATGTGGTTTTCAGGGTGTCAGTGCCAGGGGGGCTGTTGGTGCCTGTGCCACACAGGGCAGCCCTGTGCAGGGGCTCAGTGGGCGGGGGGGGTGGCTGTTGGCAATTAGAGGCCTACGCGACCCACTGGGGACCCCTCTTCTCTTGGGAGCTATTATTCTCAGTCTCCATTTCTATTCCCCAACAAATTTTCCTACTTTTAAAAAAAAAATTAAGGAGACCTGTGGGCATGGTGACGCCAGTACCAGGCAAGGCTGAGGCAGGAGGATTGCATATTCTGACCAAGCCTAGGTGACTGAAATACTTAGGTGAGACGTGTCTCAATGCAGTGCAGACAGGCCTGAGGACAGAGCCCAGTGCAGAGGCCCTGTGTCCCGTCCCATCTCCAGTCCTAAAGTCAGGAAGGAAAAGAAAGGCAGGAGAAGAGATGACTGGGGTCTCTTGGGCCTCCCAGAAGCTGGAGTGGGCCTGGCCCCCAAGCGCAGGGCGGCCCACTCAGGGCTGCTGCTCTCTCCACAGTACGGCAGGAAGAAGCTCAAGTACCTGCCCTACAATCACCAGCATGAGTACTTCTTCCTGAGTGAGTAGGGGGCTGCCCCAGACCTTGCTGCGCCCACGCCCCGACCCCACTCACCATGCTCCGCCCGGCGGCCCCTGCTGCAGGGCGGACAGTGGTGGAGGGGAGGACACCTGGGGCCCGGCCACGGCGCTGACGCGGCTTTGCTGTCCCGCAGTTGGGCCGCCGCTGCTCATCCCCATGTACTTCCAGTACCAGATCATCATGACCATGGTCATGCGCAAGGACTGGGTGGTGAGTGCCGGCCTGACAGGCCTGAGGAGCCAGGTCACCCCCCCCAGCTGGGAGGTGGGGGGCAGCAGACCCTGGGGGAGGAGCCAGTGCAGCAGCTGGGCCCTCCTGGGGGAGGAGGCGTACCTGTTCTTGGCCTGTGGGAGGCTGTCTGTGTCCAAATGTCCCCTTCCAGGAGACTATTCCTCCTGGTTCAGGGCCACCTGATGAACCCACCTTAGCTGTCCCCAGAAGGTCCCTGCAGAGGTTCTGGGGTCACAGTACTCAAATAGGAGTTTGGGAACACAGTTCAACACCACCCACCAGCCTGGGGCTCCGGGGCTCCTGTTTCTACTTCCAGAGTGAGGGGTGGCCTCCCTGGCCCCCAGATTGAGCTGGGATTGGGAGCACTGACTGGCCTGCCATGCCACTGTTGGGGACGCAGCCTTGCTGGACCAGCCCAGCTGGCATTTATTTATTTATTTATTTGTTTATTTATTTATTTAGTGGGGGGGTGTGGCCAGCTCAGCCCACTAGGGGGCTGGGCTGGCTGGCATGTGGTGCTGGAGGATTGAACCGCGGTCCCTGTGCTTTGCTAAGCTTGTTCTAAGTAGGTGCTTTAGACCACTGAGCCATCTCACCAGCCCCCCCGGCTGGCATTTGAACCCAGACCTCCAGGGCCAGGAGCAGGGGCGGCGGGGGAGGCGTGGAGCTGTAGCTCTGGGTTTTGTCTTCTGTCCTGTTTTGTTTTGTATCCCCAGCCCATTTCTATCTTGAGATGGGGTCTCGCCGAGATGCTGAATCACCCAGGTTCAGCCGGAACTCGCGTCCTCCAGCTTCAGCCCGCGTGTGCGCTCTTACGCCGCGGGCCGCAGCGCTGCTTTCCCCTGCTTGCGCTGCGCTTGTGCAGCAGGGGGCAGCGCACGGGCCGGGAGGGCAGGACCGGAGGCCAGGACCGGAGGCCAGACCACGTCCGAGGGCAGAGCGGGCAGAGTGGGACAGCAGGGCGCAGGCACCGCGCAGTGGCCCTCACGGCCAGTGCCGAGGGCAGCAGGCGAACACCCGAGGGAGGGCCCTGGCTTCCTTAAAACAAGAGAGTCGTGTGGGTGTGTGGGCCTCGTGCCAGCCTCCCAAGCCGCTGGCGTCTTCAGACACCCACACGGGTGGCGAAGCGCAGGTGTGGACACTGCTGCCAGACTGGGCCAGCGGGCGGCCTCTGACCCCTCCCCTGCAGGACCTGGCCTGGGCCATCAGCTACTACGTGCGCTTCTTCTCCACTTATGTCCCCTTCTATGGCGTCCTGGGAGCCCTGCTCTTCCTCAACTTCATCAGGTGTGGAGTGGCCCCCAGGGTGGGGGGTTCTGCGGGGGGCTGGGTGCCCTCCTTCCTGTGCCTGAGCCATGTCCTAATCCCTGCCAGGTTCCTGGAGAGCCACTGGTTCGTGTGGGTGACGCAGATGAACCACATCGTCATGGAGATTGACCTGGACCACCACCGCGACTGGTTCAGCAGCCAGGTGAGGCTGCGCTTATACAGGACCTGGGGCTGCCTGTGTCCTTGGCCACAGCTGTGCCCCTTGGCAGAGGGTGGCAGGCCGCCGCCTGAGGGCCCACTCTCACCTCATCCCTCCCCAGCTGGCGGCCACCTGCAATGTGGAGCAGTCCTTCTTCAACGACTGGTTCAGCGGCCACCTCAACTTCCAGATCGAGCACCAGTGAGTGGGGGCGGGGTGAGTGGAGGGGTGGGCTGAGGACCCTTGAGGCCTGGAGAGACATCACTGCAGCTGGACCCCTAGCCCACCGCCCTTCCCAGAGCCCCTCGCCCCCCAGCGTTCCCACTGCCCCTCAGGCCCTAGCAGGGGCCAGCTCATCCTCACACTGGCTGCCCACACCCACAGCCTCTTCCCCACCATGCCCCGCCATAACCTGCACAAGATCGCGCCACTGGTGAAGTCGCTGTGTGCCAAACACGGCATCCAGTACCAGGAGAAGCCGCTGCTGCGGGCCCTGCTGGACATCATTGGGTGAGGGCCCACCCTGGGCTGGTCCCCCTCACCCCCACCTCTGTCCCCAGTACCTGCTGGCTGCCTGCACTGCCAGCCCCTGAGTCCTGGTCCCTGTCCCTTTGCAGGTCCCTGAAGAAGTCAGGGCAGCTGTGGCTGGACGCCTACCTCCACAAGTGACCAGCCACCTGCGGGGCACGAGGGTGGGGCGACGGCAGGGTGACGGCCAGAGGGTGGGGCTTTCTGCGGAGGGCCCCCAGGGCCAGGGGCACCACTTGGGGTCCTGTCCCCTCTTTCCTCTCCTCCCTCCTAGCCCCGTCCTGTCTCATGGCCCAGCCCCAGATCTGGGACAGATGTGGCCATGGTGGAAGGCTTGTCCCTGCTCCAGCTGCCTCCTGCTCCCGCCCCTGAGAATCCACAGCTCAGCCACCAAGCCAAGACGTGAGCTCCTGGGGCCCAAGGGGCACCATTCAGGCTGCCCCCCCACACACTGCGGGTGCCATGGCCTGGTTGTGCTGGGCCTCTGCTGACAGAGCCAGCTGCCGCTCCAGCTCCCCACCCTCCTGGCTCAGGACCCCCACTGTGCCCTCCCCTGAAACGCTCCGGCCAGAGCCTCATAACGTGGACAGGGCCACTGGACACTGCTCACACGGCCTCTCTGGCGCTCTCTCCTGTTGACTGTTTTTAATCTTTGCTGTGTCCATGTTTTCTACAGGTGCATTCTGGTGGCCAGATGGCCGGGCTGGGTCCTGGGACAATCGCCCTTCACCAGGCCTCGGTGGGTGGAGCTAGGCCTGTGGGCACTACTGGCGGGGGTGGGAGAGGCCATCTAACCACTAACCAGTGTCTGGGGGCTGTGGCAGCAACCACCCCCCACCCCAGGCCAGGATGAACCCATAGGGAATCTTAATTTGTATCATGTTGCGTCCCCACCCCTATGTTTTTGAGAAATAAAGAAGTAATTTTATTCTCACTTCCACACAGCTCTGCCAGAGCAGTGAGGCCCTGCTGTGCTTCCTGTGGGCCCATGTCAGGGTGGGGGCCGGGTTCCTAGGGTGCAGAGGAAGCGGTTCCCACCCAGAGCCCCTTCCCATGCTGAAGCCTGGAGCAGGGCCAGGTGGCAGTGGAGGCTGGGCACAAACCTGACTCTGAGTCTTTGACCTGCTCTACCTCCCTGCATCCTGGCCCCTGAGGGCCTTGGTGCACGCGCTGCCTGGCCTGGCCTGCGCCCTTGCCGCCCGGCTCCCACCATGGTTCTGGTGGGGGCCAGGGCCCACCCACCAGGCCAGGGAGGGCTGGGCAAGAGGACTTGGGACCCTGGCCAGCTACACAGGGTCACAACTTCCACAGCCCCTGAGCCTTACATGGCGGCCCCTCCTACTCACTCCTGGACTAGCCCTGCCCCCACCAAGACTGGGACACCCATAGAACACTGACTCCTGCATCCCAAGGCAGGGAGCTGAGACTGGGCCTTGCCCAAGGCCACATAGCTCCCACCAGCTGCCTGGCATGGTGGAAGCCGTGGCTATGTAGATGGCTGGCCCCGTGGAGAAGTAAGCACTCCTGGCAGTGGCTCCCACAGCTTTATCAGCAGCGTGGACGCCTGGGGTGGTCTGGGCCCTGGAGCTCCGCTGCCCTCCTGGATGCGCAAGTCCTCTGGCTACTGGGAGAGAGGTGGCCCTGGGCAGACAGGTCTGCTAGCGGTCAGTTCAGCAGCCAGCACCGTGGAGGTGCAGCGGTGGGAGCCGAGCCTGGAGGGGCCGGTCCAGCCAGGCAGAGGCGTGCAGGAGCTGCGTGCATGCAGTGGCTGGCCTGTTGCACACACAGCCGCAGCAGCAGGCCAGGTCCTGTGAGCCAACCTGCAGGACACAGCTGGCGGAAAGGACACCCTGCCCAGGTTGGACCCCGAGCAGCCACTCAAGACTTGGCCCAGCATGGGAAGGAGCTCGGGGCCTCTGGCATCCCACAAAGGTTTTCTGCCGTCTGCCAAGCTGGCTGTGCCCTGTGCTTTGTTCTGTGACTGAATAAGAAATGGGGGGGGGGGGCTGGTGCGCAGCTCCGGAGCAGGGCTGGCTGTTCCTCCGGCCCCAGTGGGACAGGGAGGTTCCAGGGTCCTTTAAAACCAATTGCACCGGGCGTGCTGTGCCAGCCCTGCCCCTGGGTGCGCCAAGACAGCGACTGAGACTGTAATCCCAACAAGAGCCTGTAATCCCAGCACTTGTGAGGCTGAAAACAGGAGCATCACTACAGAGTCCAATCTGTGGAGTGAGACCCTGAAGACCCTGTACTAAGTACATTTAAAAAAAAAAAAAGATTGTAGATGGACAGGCATAGTCCTGCGCCACAGGGGCATCAGCGAGCATAGCTGGCCCCACGCGGTGCCAGCTCTGGTGGCACAGGATCCTCGGGGTTCCTCTGGTCATGGCCAGCATCTTTATATGACTATGCTGGACCACTCCTGATGACCATCAAGCAGAGAAGGGCAGTGCGTGATGGGCGGGACAGCTGGGCATTCAAGACTGAGCTTAGGCAGGAGTTCTTCTCAAGGGTGACCAGTACCCCACGGATCCCAGGAAGAAAATGAGATCTGGACCACAGGGCAAGGGGTGGACCGAGTGTAGGCCCTGTGCGCAAAGTGGGACCCTTTATTTTCTGTCACCCAGGAGCTAGCACGAGGCACAGAGAGACTGAGCCTCTCAGGTCTCAACAGTCCTGAGTCCTGGCCATGGCAGGACTGGGCTCTCTACACCCCAACCCCAGTGCGACCAGGCCCATCTGCCCCACTGGGGCGTGCGTCTCCCCAGCTCTCTGCCCACGGAGTTGCCTGGAATGCGCAAGAACATTCAGTGGCTTTTGTGCCATTTCCAGTCCTGAAGGGACCCAGTACAGACCAAGATGCCCCAAGGAGAAGCAGGCCCTGCGGTTGGGGGGCAACCTGCTCTGGAGGTGCTCTGCCTACCACACCCTGTGTCCCACAGCCTGAACCTGACAGCTGGGTAGACCCCAGCCCCAGCCCCACAAACTCATTGCCACTGTACATCTGAATCAGCTTTTATATAAAAATAATAGTTTTCTCCAATTCTGGTGTAGGAAAACATGCTGTCCTGGTGCTTACACCCTCCCTCGTGCCAGCAGGGTCATTGGCAGGGGCTGCAAGAGGGTGGGCAGCGGCCACTGGCAGGGTGCAGGCTTGGGCCTGGGGGCTGTGTGCTCCTGACTTCACTGGTGGAGGTAGGTATCCAGCCAGATGTCACCGGACTTCTTCAGGGACCTGGGGAGGTGCAGAGTCAGAACTCACCCCAAGACACCCTGCAGGCCCTGAGGTCCCAAGACTCATGTGTGAGTGCCCAGCCCTGGGGCAGGTGAGACAGGAGGGCAAGGACCAGGTCGGTCCCTCCACCAAGTCCTCTCTGTCGCTACCCTGCTGGGCCCAAGGTCAGGACACGGTGCTCCAGCCCTGCCTGCTCAGCCGATTGGGCTCCTGGCAGCGTGGGACATCCTGCAGGCTCTGCTTCCCACTTCAGTCTCCCCTGTGTGCCCACATCTCCACCTCCCATTCTACTGCATGAGACTTGCCCAGCCCCAGCCTCTGTGCCCAAAGCCTGGAACATGTTCCGCAGTGCCACCCCCCACTCCGGCAGCCCTGCACCCCATCTGGCCTCTGCGTCCCACCTGCCCACCTTGGCATTTGCTAAGATTGTTATTTTGCCAAAGCACATCCCATGTTTGCTGTAAACTGTGTGTCTCGGGGGCCGCCTCTGTCTCCCTACCAGCCCTGGAGCTGACCTGTCTGCAAGATGCCCTAATTCTCCCTGTGACAGCTTATGGGGCCCAGTCAAGCTGGGGCAGTGTGGGCCAGCGTGGCCTTACCTGACAATGTCCACCATGGCGGTGAGGAAGGGCTTGACCTCATATAGCAGGCCGTGCCTGGCACACAGTGCCCTGACGAGTGGCGCCACCCTGCGGTAGTTGTGCCTGGGCATCGTGGGGAAGAGGCTGCAGGGGACAGGGCCACATGCTGGGTCACCTGGGCAGAGCTGCCGGGGCCTCCACCCGCCGGCCCCCACTCACTGGTGCTCGATCTGGAAGTTGAGGTGGCCGCTGAACCAGTCGATGAAGGGTGACTGCTCCACGTTGCAGGTGGCCGCCAGCTGCCACAAGCGAGTGGTGGGCACAGGTGAGGGCAGCTCCATGCTGACGCTCTCCCCCTGGCTTCCCAGCCCCAGCCCAGGCCCACCCACCTGCGCGCTGACCCAGTCGCGGTGTTGCTCATGACCAATGTCCCTGGGGATGTGGTTCATCTGTGTGATCCACACGAACCAGTGGCTCTCCAGGACCCTGAGGAAGCCGATGCCGCCCACATCTGGCCGAGCTGCCCACATGTGCATTGTGGGGCAACGCACCTTACCCCCAGATGGCAGTGCAGCCCACCTGGGGGACAGCATGGGGGCCCGCAGGTGCCCACTCCCCACACCCAAACCCTCTTCTACCTGACAGCCACATAGAGCAGCAGCGCCCCACGGATGCCGTAGAAGGGGACGTAGGCCAGGAGGAAGCGAGTGTAGAAACTGGCAGCCCAGAGCAGGTCCTGCAAGAGGTGGAGAGGCCGCACCAAGTGGGGTCAGGGCACAGGCCCGGGTGCCCGCTCCCTGGGTGTGGATGGGTCCTGCTGGCTGCTCAGGGCTGACCCCGAGAAGACGATGCCACAAGAGCGTGGGCAGCTCTGCCCGCCGGGGTCGTGCAGCCACTCACCGCCCACTGCAGGCACAGCGCCATGTACACCAGGTTCTCCACCTCGAAATTCACGAGGGTGAGCAGCGGGGGCCCAACTGCAGGGTGCAAAAGGGGAGGCACTGGGCACCGGGGCCTGGCCTAGCCAGGCCAGCAGCACCTCCCCGCCCCAGGGGCAGCGGCAGGTCCAGGCCCAGGGCGCTCCAGGACTTCCGCCACTCACTGAGGAAGAAGTACAGGTGCTGGCAGTTGTAGGGCAGGTATCTGCGCTTCTTCCTGCCGTACTGCGGAGACAGGTGAGGCTTAGGTGCTGTGGGCCCGGGCGAGGGCAGGTGCCAGGGCAGGTGCCAGGGGCCCACACACCTCCACGGAAGACTCCCCGAGCAGGAAGATGGGTGCCAGGGTCACATCTGGGTCCTTGTGGGACACATTGGGCTTGGCATGGTGCTGGAAGTGGCGGAAGTTCCACCAGCGGGCCGAGAATCCCTGCAGGGCAGGCAGTCAGGTCAGGGCCAAGCAGCTGGCAGTGCCCACTGGCCCCATGGCTGCCCTGCGCTCACCTTCAGCTGCCCCATGACAAACTGCTGTGCCACGCGGTTCCAGCGCGAGGCAGGGAATATGGATGCGTGGCCGAGGTCATGCTGCAAGCACCAGCTCTGAGCCTGCAGGACAGGAGTCAGGCAGGGCTGTGGGGACCCGAGCACCTCCCCCCTGCTCTGGCTGCCCTGCCCCCACTCGGGGGCCTGCGAAGGTCAGGGCTCACACCCACACCCCAAGGGAAGGCCTCAGCCTCTGGCTGCTTTTGCTTCCCAGCGAGAACAGAACCTGGAGCCCCAGGCAGCACCCAGCCTCTGGGCTCCACCGGCCGCCATGGCCTCTGTGCAGGGCTGGCTGCAGAGGTTCCTGGCCTGCTGACAGCCAGTCTACCCTGGGGTCTGACGGCCTCCCTGTCCACCAGCAGGAGGAACCCCAGAAGGCTGGCCCTGTGGGGCAGCCCCTCCCACACGCCCAGCACTTCCTGTCCAAGCCTGAATGCCCCTTCCTGGCTGCTGCCTGTGTCCTCGCCTTATAACAGTCAACTTCCCGGCTCGGCAGAGCACAGCCTGGCCCCTGGTTTCCCCCCCTTTCACTCATTTGCTGTCCACCCATGCACTCAGCAAATACAACCAAGCACCCTGGGCCGCCCCAGGTCACCTGGGAGACGCCCAGGATGAGGGCGGCCAGGGTGCTGGGCACCCAGCCAGGGCCCAGGAGGTAGACGAGCAGCCAAGCCAGCACCTCCATAGCCAAGATGTGACCCAGCATGAGAGCAAAGAAGGTGGGGTTGGCCTCAAACAGCTTCAGGTCCTTGGCCGTCTGGCGCAGGGCTCGAAAGTCCTCGATGAGCCGGGCCTGTGTGGCAGAGAGGCTGTCAGCGGGATGCAAGGCTGCTCACTGCCACTTGGGGCCTTAGCCCACTGCTCCTGTGCCAGGGTGCAGAGGCGGCAAGGCTGAGCTCCGCCCCCATGTCCCGAGCCCAAGCCACCAGCTGCCACTCACATCCTGAGGCCCACCCTGGCCGGGCTCCTCCGGGGCCAGCTCTCCGATCAGCAGGGGCCGCAGGAACTTGCGCACAAAGTCGAGGTCCTGGTGGAAGGCGTGGAAGGCTTCCTGGGGGACAGGAGCATGATCAGGAGGGCAGGCGAGCAGGGGGGGCTGCAGCGCCCAGCGAAGGAAGCAGGCCAGCCTTGCCCAGCCCTCAGGCCCGGGATCACTGAGCAACACCCTTCACCTGGGCCTCCCCCACACGGCCTGTACCAGGTGTGGCCCATCACGTAAAATCCAGGTTTCCAGGAAAAACCCCTAAGCTCGCCCTTCAAGAGCACACTCAGCCACCGCCACAAAGCTTTCCACACGCTGAGTGCGCACCACGCAGGACTGGCTCCAAAGGCCCCGCGGGGTCCCGTCTCTGCTGTGTCTGGCCTCCGCTCGGGACAGTCACTGTCCCCACCTGACATTACAAATGCAGTCGAAGTGCAGGTGAGTGCTCAACTTAAAGCAAATTTACGCAGGGAGAGGCGTATGGACGCCTCTCCAAGGCTCCCCTCACCTTGACACCTGCTTGGTCCTGCTTTCTTTCTTTTTAAAAATGTATGTATTTAGTACAAGGTCTCACTACACAGCTGACTCATAGTGATCCTGTTTCCAGCCTCTCCAGCACTGGGATTACAGGTGTGCACCACCATGCTCCGTCTCGGTGGCCGGCTCGTTGTGCCTGGGGGCAGGACCAGTGTGGCATGTGGTGTCCCCTGTGCTTGCCTAAGTGGGCACTTACTCCGCTGAGCTATCTTGCCAGCCCAGTCCTGCTGCTTTCTGCAGCAGCTCTGGAGCCCTCTTTCCTGTCCCAGGAGGTGTGGCCCAAAGTATGGGGACTGCTGCCACGAGGGGCGTCTGGCGACAAGGCAGCTGGTGAAGATGAGGCTGTGCACTTGCCCACTTCAGTCACCCAGCCTGCACTGTAACTTGTGGCTCCGCCCCACGGTCAAGATGACCATGAAAAGGAAATGTTTTGAGTTGATCCCAGACAACCAGGCAAATGCCAGCCGAAAGAGAACTACAGCTTGGTGTGGTCGTTACAACCTGTTACACCCATAATCCCTGCTCAGGAGGCTGGGGTAGGAGGGTCACCTGGAGCTCAAAGCCAGCCTGGGGTACACAGTGAGTTCAAAGTCAGCCTGAACTGCATAGTGAGACCCTGTCTCCAAAAAGAAAGAAAAAGAGAAAATGAACAGACCCCAAAGCCGCTGCAGAAAGCCTGTCTGAATGAGGGAGGGTTCTCAGGGCTCCTGGCAGTGTCTTTTACTGTCGCACATTTTTAAAAGCTTAAGCATGTGCCACACTGTCTGCACACTGTCTAATGGCCACTCCTGTTCTCAGCTTTCTGGCTTCGGGGTACTTCCTGAGGCCCGGTGCCTGCACGCTGTTGCCCCACAGGGCTTTTCCAGTACAGGCTGCTGGAGTACAGGGACGTCTGTGGTCACACCCAACAGGCCGCCCAGGCCCAAGGCAGGGCGACTGGCTGAGGGGTCACCTGGCCAGGCTGTGAGCAGGGCACACGCCGCGCCCCATAGTCAGCCTGCTACACCCAGCTGAACTGGACCAGCACGGCGCTGGGTGTGGGGGCCCACAAGCATGAGCGGCAGAACTGGAGAGGGGAAGCTGTCAGGAGGCGTAGGGTGCTGCTGGTTCTCCTGGAGGACCCTGTCATGCTGGCTTTCCTGATGCACTCGGGATCGTGTTGTCACCAGGGATGGCTATGGTTCACTTTGGGGGAGCTCTGGTCCTCACTTTGACCATCGCTTCCTGGCTCCAGAGGGGAAGATAGTACATGGCTCAGTCTCGGGAGCTTGTTGAGCTGGATTTCCTACTGGGAACTCGGCTTTTCTGATTGTCAGACGAGCTTGGGACCTCATTGTCACTGAGGATGGCTGTGGCACTTTTGGGGGGAGCTCTGGTGCTTACCTAGAGCGCTGCTTCCTAGCTCCAGTGCAGATCCCTCAGCCTTCTGGTACAGATCCTTGAAACAGGCCTGCATGGGACACTGTCGTGGGCTCCAGGCCTCCCGCTGGACTCATGGGGGCACTGCTATGAGCTCTAGGCCATCAGCTGGACTCAGGCAGGACACTGCCATGGGATCCAGGCCCTCAGCCAAATTCTTTGGTCTTTAGTGTGTGGCTTTCCTGCACAGTCTCTATATATGCTTCTTTGGGTGACTACTATAAATAAATAATTCTTATGAAATGTGTCCTATATTGTATTGTGCCCCTTACAAAACCCCAAACTACAACAGACAGACGGTGACTAAATGCTGATTAGCGTACACTGTAGAGTCACAGTGGCTGGGCCCTGCCAACCTCTTGCCTGTCGCTGCTGTCTCACTGGCCCCGGGCAGCCCCAGGACTGGGGGCTGGGACCCTTGCCAGGCCCAGGGAGAAGCAAGGGGCAAAAGGCGGAGCCACCAGACACCGCCTTCCCTCCCAGCAGCCTGTGAGGGGGGAGAGCTGGGTGCTCCAGGGGCACAGCAGCCCAGCTCCCCATGCAGCCTGGAGCTGGGCCGTCACCTCCTGAGGCACCCAGACCTTGTGATCTTCCTGCCTCAGCCTCAGAGGGCTGGGTAGACCAAGACACCAGGCTGCAGGGCCCTTTGGGCTCCTGCCGAGCAGTCACTTTTTTATATAGAATTGTCTTTGTTACAGAGATGACACATAAATTAACCACTTCCGGTGTCCATCAGGCATTCAGAATAGTGATGTCGCTATAGATGATGCTGTCTAGCCCAGACCTCTCCCACCTTTTCTGTTAGAGTCACCAGTGCTGATTCATCTCTGACTATAGCCACATGCAGTCTCGGTCCCGAGAATCCAATGGCTCTGGCCACGCGTGAGTGGAGGTGGGCAGTGTCGTCTTGTATGTGGCTGGCCACTGAGGAGTGTCTGTGGAGTCCCGATGTGGCTGTGCCACTCCCTTCCCTGGAGGCTGAACTGTGTCATGCTGGGCAGAGGTGTTGCCGGGACAGCGTGTGTGAGCAGAGCCCAGCGCCCCACACGCTGGTGCACACCTGCCTCTGCCAGCAGAGCCCTCAGAACACGCCTGCATCACACCATGCACACCGAGTGTGAGGGGAGGCCCACGGGGCAGCCCTGGGGCCCCTCAAGTGTCCCGTGGGGTGGCAAGCAGAGGTGTGAGCCCCCAACACTGCATGTAAGATTCTGGGGTGGGCAGGGCAGCTGGGGACAGGCTAGGCCCTGCGCTGGGCGGGAACCATGCCACTTGGCCTTGACGCTGCACAGGCACGAGCTGAGGGTTCCAGCCCTCACGGCCCTGTTAGAGACACCACCTTCTATTCTCTGGCCAGAAGAGAAGAGACTCAGAAAGGGTCAGCCATGGACTCAGGGTGGCAAGGGACAGAGCCAGTGTAGAACCCCCACCTGCCTGAGCCGTGGCACTGTGCCTAGCCTCCAGGTGAGGCGGGGCGGTGGTGCTGCCCACCCCAGCAGCTGTGACCGTGGGGACACTATGCCTACCTGGGGAGTCGTCAGGGCGGCCTGTGGGCTCACCTTACGGCCAGGCACACGTGCTCACCAGCCTACAGGGCAGAGCGGAGGCCAGGAGATGGCCGTGTGCAGCACAGGATGGCACGCATGCTATCTCCTCCACACCCAGGGGCAGCTGCATGCACTCGGGCGCACACACCTGCACGTGTCCTGTGCGCCTGGGCTCCTGGGTGCGCCGAGTCCCATCCACCCACCGCAGGTGCAGGTAGCAGTTGGTAGAGAGGGGGCTGAGACGGGCTGCACCAAGAGCCCGCTGCTCTGTCAGGAAGGAGACCCGCGACACCCGGGCTGGGGAGGACTGAGCCACTGTCCCACAGCACCAGGCAGCTGGCAGCACCCCCGTCATGGTCCTGGTACCCCCAGTGCAGTGCGGGTCAGGGTGGGCTCTGGCATCCAGGGTGTGTAGCGTGGACATGTGTCCCCCTGTCCCTCCAGCCTCAGCCTAGCCCAACGCTGAGAGTGGGGCAGGATGACCTCCCCTGCATCCCCAGCTTCCCAGCCACGGGGGAGCACCTTCTGAGGCCTGCACTGGGGTGGGGTGCATGGGGGGGGGGCTCCAAGCTCCCTGCGTGTCTCATTGTGCCAGGTTGGGTCATCAGGAAGTCAGGGCCTGCACTCCCAGGGGCCAGTGGGAGCACTCTCAGAACCTCCCGCTACCTATAGGGAAACTGAGCCACGAGGTTTCAGGACATGAGCCCTGCACATGCACTCCCCACCCCAGCCCATGAGGGGGCGCGGCCGCCCATCAGTCCTGTCCCAGCCAAGGACCCAGCGGTGGTGGTAGAGCACCCAGGCTCCCTGGCAAGGGCCATCCCCCTCCACGCCTCCACCCCCATCCAGCTGCCCCTGGGAACCTCAAGGGGAGCCCACACCCTCTCCTCACTGGCAGCCTCAGGCACAGCCCACGCCACCACCACTACCTCCCAGCCAGGAAAGGGTTTGGAGAAGGGCCTGTTGTTCCGGCCGGAAGGATTTTGCAGGCCGGCCATGGGCCCAGGCATGACAGCCCTGTCTGGAGGGCAAGCCCAAAGACTATGCCGCCCCTGCCTCTAACTCAGATCTGGGGCTCAGCATTCTGGGGCTGTATCGCTCCTCAGCATTCTTCTGCCCGCAGGCCCCAGCCCTACACCCAGCCTGGGCACACGGCTCTGCGGCCTACAGTAACCTGGCCCTGGGCAGCTGGCATCACTCCCACCAGGGACCCAAGGGGAAAGTACCCTGGCCCATCCGCCAGTGGGAAACTGAGGCCCAGGAGGCTTGAAGACAGTTGGTGCTGCTCCTGACAGTGTGCACTGCGCCCTGCCCTTGCCGTGCCGGCGCTGCGGGGCCCCTTCACTCTGCTAGCTCAGCGCCTGCCCCACCCCAAGGCGCCCTTCCTTGGGCTACACTGGTCCTTTCAGGGGCAGCTGTAAAGGACTCCCCACCCCATGCACTCCACAGCCACATGCGGGTTTCAGAAGCTGCCAGCCATGGATGTAAGCACCCATCACTGCAGGGCAAGCGAATGGGGAGCCAAGCCACTACGTGCCCCAGGCCACCAGTAAGTCAGGTCATTCTACCTCAGCCTGCTTCCCAAGCTGTAAAGTGGGGCAACTCGGGAGGGCACCCAAGGGGTAGGGCCATGACTAAGGCCATTGCCAGCCCCTTCCCCACTGCTGAAGATGCTGGCAGCCACACCTGCCCCCATCACCCCGCCACCCTTCAGCCCTGCTCTGAAGGGGAGCACCCTGCCCGACCCAGCCTCTGCTCCCCCAGCAGGCAGCCACAGCTCCTCTGCACTGTACCCTGAGGCCTTGTCCTTACCTTTTCTTCCCCTCCCTCTTGGTGACCCCACAAAGGACTGCACTGCCTACGCTGGGAGGTACACATCAGGTGCCAGGTCACTCGGGTTTGTTCTAACCTGACCTGCCCTACAGCTGCCTGTGTACCACTGCCCCCAACAATGACAGGGCCTCAGCTCCCAGCCTGGTGCAGCGTGGGGCCCAGCAGCCTGACCCCAGCGTTGGCCTCGCCTTAGGGCAGCTCTGCCATTCCTGGGGCAAAGATGACTCTGGACAAACCTGGCCCGGCGCCCGGAGCTCCCTCCACAGGGCACCAGGCTGAGTCCCAGGACAGCCAGGGGCCAAATGCACACGCACAGGAACTCTGGGAGTTTCCCGGAGGACGCCTGAGCAGCTGTGGGCTCAGGCTCCAGGAACTGGGCTGCTCGGCTCAGCCTGGGCGGCCCGCCCCGCCCTGCCCCACCCCTCAGCCCTGGCCCCAGTATTCCCACAAGCCTGGCCCGTGGGGCCCCGGGAGCTGCACTTGGTGGGCAGCAAACCCTCCTACCCCGCAGAGGTCGGGCCAGGCCAGGGTGCCCCACGAGTTCTGTGTGGGGGGCTAATTCTGGGGATCAGCAACACCACTGGAGCCAGAGTGGTGACGGCCTCCAGCCAGCTGGCCACGCAGCAGTTCTGTGCACTTACAGGAGAGGAAACTGAGGCTGCCAGGCCAGGCCAGGACCAAGGTCACTCAAGAGCCTCCAAGGTCAGAGCAGGAGCCAGGAATCACTAGCAAGACTGTCCCATGGAGGTCCTGGCCTCCAGCTGCAGGAGGCACTGGGGCCCAGGAGAGGCCTGGCCTGGCCTGGCTCTTCAGGGAAGGCGAGAGTCGTGAGTGCATTCCTCCCTCGGCCCTTCCAGCTCCCGCCCTGCCCAGCACAGGCAGAGCCATACACAGGCACATGCCGGCACCCTCGTGCACAGAGAGGCTGCGTGCCACAGGGCTGGGCTGCTCGGGCCAGCAGCCACCAGGGCTGGCTCCGTGTGCGCAGCAGTTTCAGGGTCCTCCTTGGTACATCTGCTTCATGCTGGACGAGAGGAGTGAAGGGCTAAGGACACCTGGGCTCCTACCTACCTCGGGCTGGAGACCTCCTGTGGCCAGTGCCTCTGCCCATGGGCTGCCACAGAGCAGGTCCAGCCTCTACACGGCCAGCCTGGTGGGGCACTGGGTCCCGGCCTGCCTCCTCCAAGGTGACAGTGCCCTGGAGCGCCCAACACGCCTTGGCGAAGGCCTCAGCTGAGGTGAGTCACCAGCCCTGGGCCGCTCAGCCCCAGACCTCCCGGTGCTGCCCAGCCCCCGCCGGATGCCCAGGCTCTCAGTGACTGGGCCATCCTTCCCCTCCTTGCCCTGGGGCCGGTGCGCTTCGGTGCCCCTGCCTGGTCTGGGGGACGCTGGGAAGGGCTCACCTGCCCAGAGCGGCAGGGCTGGGACCCAGCTAGCACCGCCGCACCCTATCAGGCTGGCCCGGGCGGAGCTCAGGGCCCCCTGCAGCCCACAGAGTCCTTACCGTGGCGTCCTCTGCCCCGTGGTGGCCGATGAGGCGGCTGCCGCCTGGGTGTCGCTGTGCCCACTTGCTGATGTCGTAGACGCGGCGCTCGATGACCAGCCACTTGTCGCCGGGCAGGTTGTGAGTGCGGATCTGCTCCCAGCGGAAGGTGGGCAGCGGAGCTCCCCGGTCCGCGCCGGGCTCCCCGACGCCATCCATGGCCGCGCGCTCCGGTCCAGACAGGCACCCAGGTCCCCGCGGCAGGTCGCCAGGGGCTGCGAGCTGCCGGCGTGAACGCGCCTCCCCAGCCGGCTCCCGCCTTCTGCCGCGCCCGCCGCGCCCCATTGGCCGCCGCGTGCCCCTCCCGCCGCCCGGCCTGCAGCCCCCAGCCCCAGCCCCCAGCTCGGTGGGCCGCAGGGAGGGGTGGGGACAGCACCGCGCTGCCCCCTGGAGCCACGAATCAGGTTGTACTCACCGGGGCCCGGGGCTTCCCACTGGGTGCCTGGGGGTGGAAACGCCACGGGGGGAGAGGGCGTGTGACTGTGTGGCCCCCAGCCGCCCCCAAGGCCCGGTCCTCTGCGGGGATGGGGGTGGGGGGCTGCGTAAAGGGCGCAGAGCTGCCCTGGTGGGCAGAGGGTGGGGCCTAGGAGCCCGCGGGGGCCCCTCGCTGGCGCTGGCGTGCTGGCCAGGGCTTTACTTAAGCAATCAAGTCCTGCAGCAAGGCTGCGTGGGCCCTGGACGCTGGGTCCTAAAAGCTAGGAGCCCACCCCAGCAGGGGCAAAGCGGTGCTCGAAACTAGCCCAGGCCTTTGGCTAGGGCGTTGGTGGGGAGGGGGACAAGGCTGCCTCGGAATCTATTCTGAGGACCCAAGGCATTTCTCTTATTTGCCAGTGTTTGGCCCTGATGCAGTAATGTGTGAAACGGTGCTGCCACCAACCCAGTTGCGCCAGCCTGAGGACTCCAGACTCCTTGGCACTGAAGGGAGTGGGGCTCGCGTGGACCTGGTCAGCTCATCGCCAGGTGGCCTGGGAGACCCGGTGCACGCGGTGCATGCGGTTGTCACACGGCACAGTCAGGGAGCAACAGCCCTGAAGTCCATGTGCCTGTTGGGGCTGGCTGCAGAAGGGCCGCCAGAGGCTGCGTGGGGGAGAGCCGCAGCAGCTCCCGGGTGGCAGCACTGGGCAGCCAGGTCACCACCGTGTTCTCCTGGGTCCAGGCAGACGCCAAGCAGGTGGAGATGCCATTGTTGTTTGGGATCTTCTGGAATGTTTTCTGAATACATCTCGGCAGCAGCTGTTGGATCGTGGACAGAGAGATGGAGGCCTGGACAGATTCCACCGGGACAGGCCAAGGGTGAGACTGGGCCAGGCCCCTCTCCCGGACGTGACCGTGATGGTGATGGTGGCTGGGCCCCTGCCCCCTGCAGCCAGCCTGTCTCTTCCTCAGTGGCTGGCAGCTTCCCACATGCCTCTGCAGCCACACCACCATCGCCGCTCTAACTCGAGAGTCCTGCAGCTTCCGGGTTGGGAGCTGGGGACACCAAGACTCCTCCGTCTCCTCCCCAGGTCTGGGCAGCCCAGGCATGGGCATGCTGCCACTTGGCATTCCCGAGTGAGAGCCGGGCACAAGCAGAAACCACCGGTGTGGGGGTGGAGTGCACGAGAGCCGAGGAGCCATGGGCTCAGTCGCCGCTGCTTTCCCTGCTGTGGGCCGCCACATCCTCCTGCGAGACACCTTAGAGCCTTCAGATGGTGGTGCAGAGCCAGCAGGGAGGGGGTACGTTCACAGCCTTCAGGGCCAGGGGACAGTTCAGGACAGAGCCCTGGACCCTCCAGAGGGAACAGCTGCAGAGTTAGGCCCTGCCCTGCTGGCGGTGCGCAACACTCATCCCAGCTGCTCAGGAGGCTGGGAGGATCGGGAGCTTGTGACCTGGTCTCAGAAGGGGCTGGAGTGTGCTCAATGCCCTGGGTTCAATCTTCCATCCTGTTCAAAGAAAAACGCCGAGCAGAGCCCAGGCTTTTGTCCGTCACAGACACAGAAGTGGCCCTGCGGCGTTCAGACCTCACTCACAGGCCTGGCCGTCTGTCCTGCAGTCTTCTGGGAAGGATAGGGTGGGCACTTGGGTCATGGTGGAGCAGAGGCCCTCATGACCCAGTCGGGTGAAGGACACAGTAGCACCCACCCCCGGCTACATGGCAGGGCCCCTGCGCATCCCCGGCTGCTCAGAACCCATGTGTGGACGAGGGAGCTGGACCCGTGCACCATTAGTGGCAGGAGTCACAGCTGCCACAGACACGTGGACGGCCTCGGGGCACCTGAAGCAATGGCAGACCTGAGTGGACCCTGTAAACCTGACAAGGGAGGCTGTGACACGAAGACAGTGAGGTCAAGGAGAGCCGGGACTATAGTGAATCAAAAACCTTGACTACAGCAAAACCCTGTTCCCCTCCAAAAAAAGAACAAAAAAAATCCAACTACCACATACCCATTATTCCATTTCTGAGTTTTGACCCCTAAATCAGAGCAAGGTCTCAAAGGGAAACACATGCAGCCACACTCACAACTGAGAGAGCCAGGAGGTGGGACTGCCCCCATCACCCACAGATGAGTTAACCAAATGCAGCATGGATGTGGAATACTATGTAGCCCTGAAGAGGAAAACAGCATGGACCGGCCCTGTGACCACTGTGCCACAAGAGGCATAGCCAGGGGCAGGATGGGGCCACCAGGGGCAGTGGGGCTAGGGGAGACTTATTTATGGAAACAAAGTTTAGTTTTGAGATAAAAGGTTCTACATGCCTATTTCACACTGGAGTAAGCACATGAAACACAGCTGCACACACAGGCTGAGATCCTCTGTGTGTGTGTGTGGTGTGTGTGTGTGTGTGTGTGTGTGTGTGTGTGTGAGTGAGAGAGAGACTGACATAGGAACGTGAAATTCCCAACCTGGCCTGGATGAGTTCGTGTTTTCTAAAACTGAAGAATGAATTTTAGGAACAGAGGTTGAGGGTAAAACTTTATTGGAAAGGAAAGCTTCTGTCAGAGAGAGACAGATGGGGTCCAAGCGGGTTGCCCAGGAAGCTGTCTCTCAGGTTGTTTTTATAGGATAAAACCATGTGGGGCTGAGGTAGAGACAAAGGGGTCTCGCTCAGGCAGCCACAGGGCGGGACTACAATGTGGTCACCCCGTGGGCTTACAAGCGGCATTGCTCAGGTAAAACTGGTTAGGCCCAGGACCAAATGGGGGAGCGAGTCACGTAGCAAGCGGGCAGGAGTATAAAACAGGACTTATCAGGAGGCCTTCAGACCATACATCTTCCTGAGTAATGATCGATCCTGGATGCCAGTCTTTAGGTTTGATTTATAGCAGGGGCCTCCATCCTTCCCACAGTTGTGAGATGCCTGGCTGTTGTCATTTCTTTCGAGGGCCTGACCCTGTCTGATTGCCTGCAATTTTCTAACTCAGACTGCCTGCAACAAGACAACTCTATCTCAAAAAAAATTATTAAGGCAGTAAACTCATTTTCATTTTTTTTTTTTTTTTTTTTTTTTTTTTTTTTTTGCGGAACCAGGGATTGAACTCAGGCCCTGGTGCTTGGCAAGGAAGCGCTTATTCCACTGAGCCATCTTCCTGGCCCCCTTTAACAACTAAAAAAAACTTTAGTTCTTTAAAATTCTGAAGACTGTCAGAATCTTCCCAACCCATGGATGAGAAAGTGAGGCTCTAGGCGTGTAGCAACCAGCACCCAGGAGGCCGAGGCAGGAGGACTGCTGCGAGTTTAAGGCCAGACTAAATAGTGAGACCCTATCTTAAAAGCAAAGACACACACACACACACACACACACACACACACACACACACACGGCTGGGAGAGAAGGGCTTGGCAGGATGTACAGGGCGCCTGCTCGGGAAGGCGCTCCAGGCCCGTGGGCTCAGCCCCTCCTCAGACAGTTGTCTCTTCCTTTTGCCTCATCTTCCTGTCTTCTGCCGACACCCGGATAGGGTCACACAGCCACCTCTGGCATGGACAAGGCCCCAAGGGACATGGTGACAGGAGGTGAGGACGTAGCAACAGGAGGCCTGGCCAGCAGTCACCTCAGGGTAGGGAGATGGGGCTCACAGGGGAGGGGGCCGAGGCCACAGCGTACATACCTGCTGTGAGGAGGCCCCACCGCCCCTGATGGTCACTCTGGCTCAGAGGCTTGGGATACCCACCAAGCCCACCCCACCCGTGGAGCACCCAGGCGACTCCTGGTCAGGCGTGGCTGGGGCAGGCCCTCGCCTTCCTCGCCTGCTGCCCCTGTCCAAGCCAAGCCACACAGGGGCTCCTGCAGCCCCACCTGCCCCGCCCGGCAGCACCATCCTGCAGGCACTGCCATCCCTATCCCCGCAGGACATCCAAATGTCCCTGTGTGGCACGATCCTGTGGCGGGCAGCTCAGGATTTGGGCTAATCCCAAGCACGAGGTAGGCAGGAAAGATTTGGTTTGCTTCCTGTAGATGCCCAGGGCCTGGCCAGAGCCCAGGGCACAGGAGAGTGGGAGGCCGGGCCCCACCAACAAAGCCGCCTTTATTAAACAGACCAGGCCGCATTCCAGCGACATAAGTGCCCAGGCATGGTGGGGGCGTCCAGTGTGGGGACAAATCAAGGAGGTGCAAGTGGGCAAGCACCCCAGTTCCCATCAGAGAAGAGGCACGCCCCAGCTTCCCAGGCAGCAGTGTGGAGCACCCAGGCGACTCTGGCCTTCCTCGCCTGCTGCCCACAGGCACAACGGCAGGAGGCTGCAGTGTGCGGGGACAGAGTGCTGGGAAGGGCTTGGAGATGCCCTGGAAGCCCGGCCGCTCTGCACTGTCTTTCCCTGAAGCTGTGGCTGCCACAGGCATGTGGAGGCAGCAGCCCGCAGTGCACACACTGTCTGGTCCCCTCCAGGAGTCTGGCGCCTCGGTCTTTGGTGCTTGCACGAGATTCTCCTTGGGGACCCAGCCCGGCGGGTGCGGAAGGCTCATCTCCTTCCTGTCCGTGCATCCATCGGGGCACAAGCTGGTCCCTCCCTGTGGCTCCAGATCCGGGCCATCTGTCCATCTGTGTCCTGAGGCAGGTGTTGCTCTGGTCCAGCCGCAGCCTAGGCCTCCTGGGGGCAGAAACCCAGCTTGGCCAGCGACATCTCCTTCCGCAACCTCATGACCTCCCAGAACATTGGCTCCACTGCGAGTGGGGACAGGGACAGCTCAGGGTCACCCCAGTCCCCTGTCTGCTCCCCTGCTGGTTTTGTTACGGATTTCGGGCACAGCTCCCCAGCCTGTGCAGATGTGAGCCCCTGAGTTCCCCATCTCCGCACCCCCACCCCCTCATGCCCCCACCCCCACCTCCCGCGACACAAGGACCTCCACCCACCCCACCATTCTGGGCCCGGAATGCCAGGCCAGGAGGACCGCTGAGCCTCTGCCCCTGCTCTCCCGCCGCCACCCACGCCAGCCACCAGGGGGCGCTCACCGTCCTGCCGCACGAGGCCCTGCTGGATGTAGCGGATGTAGGTGAAGAAATTGCACACTGCTGTGATCTGCGGGAGCGAGGCGGGGGATGTGTCCTGCTGGCCATCTGGGCAGCGAGGGGGCTCCCAGAGGGGTCACGGTCACTCCCCTGGAGGTCTGCACAGAAGGTGCAGGGGCCTGGCCTGCCAGGGTGGACGTGGAAAGGGAGACCACCAGGGACCTCCCCGGGGCACGTCTCCTCAGCGGCACGCAAGGGCGCTCAGCGATGGGGCAGCCTGAGGGGCCAGGGGTGTCCAGGCCACAGGCCCTCTGCCGCCAACTGGGGCTGAACCCCGTCGTAGTGTGCGCGCAGAGGGCAGGCTCTGCAGGGAGCGGCCCCGAGAGAACCTGAGCCCAGGAGGCCGGTAGGTGGCGCCCCTGGCCAGCGAGGGAGAGACAGAAACTGCGGGGTCGAGGCCCCCGGGAGGAGAGGCGCCCCGGCCGGCCGGCCTCCGCCTGAGCCCTGGCACCTGCGTATCTGTGCTCCCGGGGC